CCAGTCCTAGGAAGCTTTGCATCCAAATAGACAAATAGACTAGGGTCCCAAAAAGCCAGTACATGCAGTAGAAACAAGTACCAGTGCCTTTATCAAAGACTTCTCAGTCAGCCCCCATTTTCAGCCACATTCAGATCACGGATGAACATTTGTTTTCATGGTTTCTTTGTAGGCACTTGGGGTGGAATTAGCGAATTACATAGTAATTCTCTGTATGACTTATTGAACAGCTGAGAAGTTTTTTCTTTGATAGATGCAGCATTTTATGCTCTCGTTAGTTCATGAGCATTCCTGTTGGACACTTTGGGTTATTATAGTTTCATGATGTTCATTCCTGCCTCCTAGTGGACATTAAGTAGTCCAGCACCATGAATGCTGGGCTGAGCTTTCTCCAAGTGGTAATTCCACTCTCCCACTCTGAGACATTCCTGTCTTTCTTAGATAAACATCTATGCGACCTTTGCTCCTCTATAGCTGAATTGTTTACATGCTTGTCATTGAGATGTAAGATTGGCATGTGTATCATGAATAGCAATCACTTTCCAGGCATATAATTGCTATACTTTCTCTATTTTAAATGTCTTTTACTGTTCTTGATGGGATCCTTTGAAGTAAACTTTTAAAATTTTTGTATACCTAATAAATAAATAAATAAATATTTAAAAAATTTAAATTATTTTAAACTTTTAAAATAAATTTAGCATTTAAAAATGTTTTAGGGCTGGAGAGATGGCTCAGTGGTTAAGAGCATTACCTGCTCTTCCAAAGGTCCTGAGTTCAATTCCCAGCAACCACATGGTGGCTCACAACCATCTTTAAAGAGGTCTGGCGCCCTCTTCTGGCCTTCAGGCACACACACAGACAGAATATTGTATACATAATAAAGAAATAAATATTTAAAAAAATGTTTTAAAGTTTTATAATGCACAACTTTATGAAGTACTGTGATTTAATCTCTAAATCACATGGTGAGAACTGAGGTTATGAACATTAACGTCCCCCCATTTTATCTAATTGGGCAGTATATTCCTGAAAACTTATATTTATTTATTTATTTATTTTTGGGATACAGGGTCTACGTTGCCCTGTCTGTTCTGGAAATTGTTCACTGAGATCCACCTGCCTCTACTGCCAGAATGTTGGAATTGAAGGCATGTGCCCCCCATGCCAATTTAGACCTAGATCTTTGACCCCTTTTAGTTAAATTGTATGCACTGTTATCAAATTTATTCCTATCTTAAGAGGAGGTGCAGAGAATTAAAGTCTGGAAGGTGTTGAGGAACATCATCTTCTGGACATGGACAGTGATCACACCCTCAATCTCACATGGATCAAGCCAATCAATATGCCCTCTATAGATGTGGGAGATGCTC